ATAAGCAACGCCTTCCACTTGTAACGGCTATCACTAATTACTCGGAATATCAAGCGTATCGAGAACTCGATTGAGTAGCTAGCTCGTCAGCTATTGAGCATTCGAGTCCTGTCGGTACGTCGCATCTGTCACGTTCATTGGCCAGTACGTGTATAACAACCTGCGTACATGGCCTGTACATCCGTGTTCGCTCATTGCTGCCGCCCGCGTCTCACGAAAATATTGTCGAATATTATCAGTGATCATTTTTCATGACAGCACGCCCAGAAAATTGTTCCAATTACGTATAGCTTTTGTGTTTCCATTCAGTTTCTGACCGAAATGTACGCAAAAAACGTGAGACAAAAAATTGTTTAATTTTTGTTTTCTACTTCCACAAGATGTGTGTGAATTAATAGACACGTACAAAGTTGCATCAAGATTAAGTTTTACAACAAGTATTATGTAGAAAGTGTTATTTATTATTCAGAGAAAGAAATAAAAGAAGAAAATCGAAATAGTAAAAAACTATGCTGTATGCATAATAATATGTTCGACTGCAGCGAGTTTATTTAATTGCTCTAGGAGCGATTTAATTTCTCGTACGGTCAAACACGCTATAATAAATATTCAAATAATAAAAACAACTTTTATTTTTATTTTTAAATTCTTATTACTATACTAGAAATCGAATATTAATTCGATTTCTAGGTATTCTGTTTATTTATGTAGTAATATTTTTGTGCGTATTTTTACACTTTGTTATTTTTTGTACTTTTCAATAATATTGCACGAAGAACACTCTTTTTCCAGTTGTACTATCTACTGCATTCTGTCCATATAACATTCTGTTACGGATAACGTTTCATTACGTAGCAAAGTATTCCGTCACGCGTTTATTAATTTATAAATGTTAATCTGTTTAGCAATTGGAATAGATGTTTCAGTTTTTAGTCAAAAACAAAAAAAAAATTCCTGTTGTATTTCCGCAGTTACGCAAGAGAAAGGGAGGAGCAAAACGAGAGATGGATCAATTTGTAAGTGTCAATCTATCCAGCTTTAAAAAAAATATAACCCAACAGCTCCCGTCGGCGTGTGTGTGTGTCACTTCTCTATCGTTTCTCATTCCACACAGCCTAGGGACTCAGGAGAACGAGCTTTTAACGCGCGTTGTCAATTTACAGGGCGCGACAAATGCGGATTTCCACGCCAGTATTGGCCAATGTATCGGCTCGAATGCCGATAGAAATACCGACTCGGTCATTGTGCAATAGACAATTTTCCCTTCGAACGAGAAGTTTCGTTCGACGCGATGATTAGATAGAGAGCGGAGTAATGGCAGGAGGTCTGATCTGCATTCGTAATGACAAACGAGGAGAAGGTGACACAGTGTCTGACCTCGGTGTGCAGGGACATTGGCCATCTATTAACCCCCGGGGCCATACGTCCCCCTCTTGGTTCTCTGTCACGGAAACCTTCCCTCAGCTATTCGCCATCCCTTAAACGATCCTCAACCAGATCCATTCTCTATCGTTCTATCAATATATCTACTCAGTACACAATTCTATCGTGTAGCTGCAATACAAGTTATTAAAAATAACTAACACTATAAACAACATTTTAAATAAATGATACTATAAATAACAACATAAATAAGTTAATTAGGAATAATACTATAAAAGTACGTCACATACACACACGTCATGTATATTTAAAGAGAAAGAGGAAAGAAGCGAGACATTTAATATTTACGCATCATTATTTTATTTAATACTGCATAAAATATATTATATTATATATAATATTTTATAACACGTTTTTGCAATCATTTAGTTTTACAAGAGGATTGGCCGTCAGATGACATTTTGTATTCTCGTGTTATTTTTAATATTTTGTGGAAACAACAGTGAGAAAGATAAAAATTTTTACCGTTGGGTTCGCGAGAAAAGCCGTTGCCATCCATTGCCATCGCGAGATTTCACCGCTAATCTCTGGCATTAACTTAGTGTCCAATTGGAAACCGCTGTAATCCAGTCTGCATCACCGAATTTAATTCCCTTAACGAGGTCTTGCCAGTCGAGCATTTCGATGCTTCGGCTGGAGAGGGCCATATCAATTAATTATTATTCTTGCGGTTAACTGAGTTTCCGCGAGTTCGCCGCGCTTATAGGTGAGCTTTCTCTATTCCCTTCATCATTTCTATTATATTACATTCCGAAGAAAATCCAATTAATTGTATACGTGAGTTTTATTAAACATTGTTATAATTGGATAAATGATTTTACACAGATTTTAATTACAATCTTTTATTTGAAATACGTGATAATTGTGCCTTCTCTCTCTTTCTCTCTCTCTCTCTCTCTCTCTCTCTGTGCTTGTAGATCTTATTAAAATATTATGATATGTATTTCTGTTTCTTCTCCATTTATTTTGTGTTAACAATAGCACTATAAAATGTGAAGTTTCTTCGCGAATCGATCTCGTTCGTCGTTTAAGTGCTTCATACAATAAATCTCGATTTCTTATATAAACTCTCTTCTATCAGATTTTCTCACAAGTGTTTAAAAAAAAACTCTCGCGTGTGTGTGTTCAGGATGAAACGATAATAATTGAACGTATTTTGAAAAAGGACCATCCGCGGGCATAGAGACGTTATTCGATTGCGGTGAACGATATCGTTCGCGTATTAACAATTAAATGGCAGAACATTTTTCACGTGAGCGTATTCTCGCTTCGTCGACAAGACTGGATCAGCTGGGATACCACTTGCCTGGCGCCAGCATCGCTCGAGGTAAATATTTGACGAGTAACTCCAGTAGTAGGTATCAAGCTATATTGGTCCTGATGAACGATGCGCATCGTCGCTAGCTCCGACCTCGTTCCGTCTTAAATGTCGTTGCATGTTACTTTATGAAATTAAAGGGCTTTACATATACAGACTTCTAACGCAGTTAAAAAAAAAAAAAAAAAAAAAAAAAAACGATAAAAATAATGGAGAAATCCGTGCGCGATACAACTTACCACGAATGGAGAAAACTCATTAGTCGGATCACAGAATCGATTTTAATTTATTTTTGAAAACAACAAATAAGAATAATTTTCTGATTCTGCGCTCCGTACCTAATTTATCTACAGTTTTTATTATTACATTGCGCTGTGTGTGTTGTTAAAACCGAAGCGAAACAATGTAACCCGCTAAAATTGCGTCACGCGTACGTATACAATAACATAATTGGAAAAGATACAAACGACGTGTTTCTCCATGAAATGTTTCGGCGGAAAACCGTGAATGGGCAATACATAGATGACAAGACACATCTCTATTTAATTAGCGTGAAGCTTTGGCTCTAGTATTGTCTGTTCCGACAGAACGCAGACAAACTTCAAAGTGCAGAGCGAAGGCCGTACGCAAAAAAAAAGCGGCGTGCTTCTCACGAGCGAGGTCTAGGTGTCTGAGCATTAAACATTCAGAGTCCGTTTCAATTTGTTCCGTGAAAGCGCGGAGGACTTTGAAGCGCACAAAGGTTGCGTACCTTACTCGAATATGTTGCAACGTACTGATTGGAGGGATCAAAGCCCGTACGAACGGACGGTATTTAATCATCTGACCACGGAGAACGTGTTCATCAACGATTGCAGCTTTCGTCGAAACGTATTTGCTATGTTTTACACGTGTACTAATGCGTTTCTCCTCGATTGTAAATATCGGTTTTTGCTTTTTGTTTTACATCGTCGACACACATATTCTAAACGATAAACATACTTGTCGTTTTCCCCGTCGGTCAATCGCGTCGGATGTACAACTTCCGTCGCGAGCTTAACTAGAAACTTCAGAACGAAGACCTCGAATGAATGTTTGGATGCTTACAACGTAAGCTTCCTTGTTCTCTCACGTTCGGTTGCTCGTGCTTCGCCACCACAGCTAACCGGAAGGATATTGGCAATGAATTTCACGGCGAAATCGCTCGTCGAAACCGGCAGATTCGGTACTTCGGCACAGATGGAAATGAATTCGATTGGAGCCAGACCGTCTTCTTTTTTTTTGCTCTCACCTTTCGCCCGGGAGCTTACTTTTTTTTTTACGAGGCGTAAAATACCGTCTATACTGCTCGTTGGCTAGCGCTGGTCGTAAATTGGTTGCCGACCTTGCCTTGCTTCGAGAATCGAAGCTTTCCGATGCTGGCTGATGTGGATTCCAGCGGACACGTAAACGTTATCTCATTGTCGCTCCGTTTTATCGATCCGACGGTATCTTTCTTTTATTGCTACGCAAAAAATAAAAGCCCGTTTCTTAAACAGATAACGCGTAATCAAATTTTCGAATAGCGATATATAAATATATAAAAAGAATCATCTTTGTGACTTACACCTTATACTTATCTCACATTAATAATTTGATGTAATCAAGTGTAATTTTACGTAATTTTATACTTATATGTACACACATACACGTACGTATATAAAACTCTGAGACTATTTCATAAATCTTAAAAGTTCTAGATCTTCTTTCAAAGAAGAGCGCGGAAATTTTCAAATAAGGTGCTGCTTGTTGGAAAACAGTAATTTTTCTTTTCTTTCGTCGGAAAAGGGACAAAGAAAGAAAGAGAGAGAATAAATTTGTATAAACAAAATATATAAAAACAAGATAAGAATTTAAATAAATTATTCTTATCTACACACGAAGCTTGATACTAAAACTCGTTAAGAAAGATTCAAATAACGCTTCTATCATTCATTCGTCATTCGAAATGATTTTTCCCAGACTCACAGCGGATGCAAAAAAGCGAGAGCTTTGCACTCTTGATCAGGCATTATATTTCCACCGATTAATTATCTCGCAGCGCGATATGTCAACTCCACTCCCGTCTATTCCCCTCATCCATCGTCTTTCGTGCACTTTCGGTGTCGGTCGCTTGCGATCGGTCAAGTTTGCTCTAGTCCGCACGCGCCAAAAGGGCGGTGGGGCTTGCGAGCTTTCAAGCGCAGAGCTTCCGTTCATTCGTCCTTACGCGTCGCTCGTGAACACCTTGCGGATTCTTGCGGCAGTGCGTGCATTTCCGACCGAACGGTGTGTGTGTTATCGTCGCGCGTGATGATGATCGTGCACTGTTCGGACGTGTACGAACAATCGACGCGCTTTTCCTGCGAAATTGACGTGTAAGTTCCGTTACACCGATTGATCGGGATCGCGCAAGACGCGACGATAAAACTTTTTCGGAGCATCTATCGATCTCCGGTTTTAATAGTTTTTTTTTTGTTTGAGATTTTTAAAGCAAAGTGGAGCGGAGCGGTTTTTAGGATCTAGATCTATATTTCAGGGTAATTTTGGTTGCAGGAGAGTGGTTTCGTGTCAGAATATATAATATAATAATAAAAAGAACGCGCGCAGAAAGTGCATCGGGTGACTTGAGATTTCGTTAAATTATAAAAAGAAAAAATCCGAATTTTATAGTAATATTTTAAGCCCGAGCTTTTAGTATTTGCTATTTAACGAGGACGATGCAATTTGATTCTGCGGAGTTGATGCCTCGTTACGGATTAATCATGCGGGATCAGGGGTCGTTGCTACGAGGGCAATGGACGGATATCGTGCGCAATATATGATAAGATATGATATTGATAAAGGATTAAAATCTTCGTAGAAACTTTAGACTTGCTATTTTTTCTTTGTTTTTACACTTTTAAAAAATTTATATAAATTTCTTATAATAAAAAAGGCATTTATTCAATTAATTTAATGTCTTTAAATTTATTTAGTGTTAGTTCACATCACAAGATAATTAGCAACTATTAATGAAATTAGGTATTGTACTTAAATTAATGTAATAATTGTGTGGAATAATGTAATTGTAACTGGAATAATTTAATTAATTGTATTAATTTGATTAATAGAAAATAATGGATTGTAGTTGGAAATCATTGAAATATATTTAAAAAGAAAAGATCCATGGAAACGACATTATCAAATAAAATGTTTAACATTTACCGCGTTTATCGGAAGTTTCGATCTTTTTCATTAAAGTATTTGAGCAATTTTGTTATGTCAAAAATCAAGTTAGAGAGAAAATTGGTTTAACAAACTAACATTTTCAAATATTCTCCTCTCGGACGCATTCAGAGAGGTATTTAATTTCAAATGGATTCTTCCGCTTCACGCGCACCCATCTATTCCAACTTTTTTTCTAGTCAAAAAAAAAAATTCAAAGTTATTTGAAAAGTAAGAACTATTTAAAACATAGTTTTTTTTTTTTCCATCGCTATTTCTCGTCTATGACGGTTCGACATAATAAAACTACAGGTGCGAAGGAAAACGCCTCGTTGCTGCGCGAAATAATTTATATTCCCGTTGTGATTTATGTTTTGTAAACATAGTGTGTAAAAAAATATACATAATAAACCGTGTTTGTTAAACCGCATTCCCTTATGAAAATGGAAAGATCGTATGCACGCGCGTTGAGTATCAGCGAGGCGTTTTGTGCGCATGATTTCACCTGCGTGTTATGCGTACGGACGAGAGACGCGCGTGAGTAGAGCATATACGGCAATTGAATTTCGCAATGGTTCAATAATTCGCAATTAAACCATCTACTCTCAACATTGTTGTACAGTAAATGGGCTCGCGTATACGCGCAAAAGAAACCGTGGTCGATAACCAACAAAAGGTCCTTGCATTTATAGGTAGATGATTGTAATGCCTGATTATATTGACTGGTAATATTACAAAAGTAATTCGAGTCGCGAACGTGAACTCCACACAATAAATACGTGTATCCTTTGTGCGCACGCAGTATTTAAATATTGTGCTGTAATTGAGAAATTTCGAAAGAACGGAAATTTTAACGCACAGAGTGTGTTAATCCTTTTCCCTCCGAGAGACTAATACGCGGCTCTTGTGTGACATTAATGACAGATCTTGTGAACATGGTATGAAATATTTTGACTATATTGTGACAATACGTGGAAAAATACGAACATGATAAATTCCACTAATAAGACAGCGTGTTACAAGTGACAAAGTGTCAGTGTGAAGTGCGTAGAGCAGCCAATTTACATCTTATTTCGCGGTTCTGAGACTTAATCTAAAATCGTGTCACATCTTTTCAGAACTCGAAGAAGTTCAAGTCTGTGCACGCCAGTAAAATCCACCGAAAATATTCACGTTGTCCCTGTAACTTCGAAACGGTGAGTTATATGAGTTTACTTAAATATGATAACAGAAAGATTGGTCTGTGTCTTTCTGTGACTTATATTTTTTATTATGTATATATATATATATATATATATATATATATATATATGTACAAGAGATTTTCGATATTATATTTAATATATAAAAGTTTTTATACATATTATGTATAAAAAAAAATGAAACATAAACGCGAGTCCGAGTCAAGAATAAAAAATTCTTTTTTTTTTTTATAAATAATAGAGAATCCAAAGCAACATTCTGACTTTACACATGACTGTAAACAAGTCTTTGTTTACATCCTTTTGTAAATATCTATTTTTTATACTGCTGTTTTGATCAAAATTGATTCTAATCAAAAAGTGACCAAAATTGAGATACGAGACGAAGTGGATGTGATCGGTGAAAAATAAACTAAATAGCAATAGAAAGAGTGTCAGCACGAGCGCAAAACCAAGCTTGATGGTATTGGTGCACAATCCCAATTTCATTGATATACGATGTTGCGAAACAGAATCTGAAAAAAGATCGATGGCCTGTACATCGATGCCAATTTCAAAAATGCGTTTGTTTGATACCCATTGTGGTACAGGAGAAATTTCATTTCGCGTGCGTTCGAAAAAGGTTCTTTTCATTTATAAGTTCATAACCGTGATTTTGTTCAATACTCGTATTGCTCAATATTGTTTTCAAACCGTTTTACATAGGCTTTAAGTAAATTAAAACACTCTATAATACATATTTTATTTTATATAAATCGAGGATATTATAAATATATGTAATTGCATTCAACGAGAGAAACGTATTTTGGAAATAATCACCGATTTCGCTATTCCGACTGTAAAAAGCATTGGTCAAAGTAATTGTCACGATAGTACGCGTCAAAAGATGCGCGAGGAAGGTTACCGTAATTCGAAGCGTGATTCAAGAAAAGGAAGAAGTTAACACGAGAGCTCAGTATGTGCCAAGACTATTTCTAGAGAGTTACTGGCGACGCTAATATCAGTAATACCAACCCCACAACCGTCGCGATATTTCGATCCTAAAGCTGCTGCAGCCGCGCGTACTGGAAGCTATCCAACAAATATACCTTACGTTACCCATTCCATCGCATCTTGAAAACCGGACGATGTAAAGAGGCCTAGATTTTTAAGATTTAGAACGCAATATTTAAACGCGCGACCACACACACAATGCGGGAAAAATTTATATTTTACAAGTTCTCGAATAATAACATTATAAATGGAAGAAAGTAACGCGTACTTGACACACTTGCATGTAAAGTGTTAAATTAATTTGTATGTAAATACGAGGAGATTAAAAAAAGACGCGCGATCTCTTCAAAGTAATAACGTCTCGTCTTCATTTATCGAAACGGAGGTAGTATACACGCGGTTCTTGGAGAGTATCGGTAACGTTTAAACACGAGTCATTGGCGTTACACGGAGTATATATACACAGACACACACGTAGTACATAGTAATAGCTGTCCCGCGGCTTTACGACGAGCAAGAGGACGAAAGCCCCTTGATTTAATTTTACTGAATTCTCTTGCACCCCGCGTGGACAGGACCGCAAGAGAGGATACTGAAATTCTCCGGTGACACCGAGCCAATTTCCAGAAGGGTTTCGCCGAGTGGACGACAAACATGCGCTTTTGAATTTCCTTGCCATTCCATACGAGACGCAGAATGGCGTCGGCAAGCACAGCCACCACGAAGTGCTTTGCTCTTCAGATTTGAGCTTTCGAAGTATAGACTATTTCGGCCGTGCCTCGAAACTTTAACCTTGATTGTCGCGCTATTCTTTTATCAAGATTTTATTAGGATTAGTATGATCGTGTTGCCTCTCGCGAATGACAAATGTCCTTTTCGCACATTATCTTGCGAGAAATTTATATAAATATAGTTTTCTGATCATTTATTCGAGAGCAATATAATTAGAAATTATACGGCATAGGTATTGAAACTAAAGCTGAGTGTAGTTTCAGTGAGTGTTTTTTTTTTTTTCATATATAGCGGCTAAAGAATCTATTTTTCATGCGAAATAGCTTTCGGAAGCGCAATATTTTCTATGCGAAGTAATTACGATACGATATGGGGAACCCATCCGGTGGAATTTTGTTCGTAAATCTTAATTCGCTCGAAAATGGAAACGCAATCCAAGCCACGTCTGGATTTCAGCTCGACGGCGTAAATGGTATATACGTACATATAGGAGGTCGTTCGTATAAACTTCGTTTATTGCCGCGTGAGCACGAAATGCGAGAATTGCGTGACCGAACGTCGGCTTAGGTGATAGACACTTCGAAATCAATTACACAGAATCGTAAATATTAGTATAATAACGTGCGCCCGCATGTATGGCACGAATATTCTCCGCAACTCTCTCTCTCTCTCTCTCTCTCTCTCTCTCTCTCTTTCGATGAGAAAAAAAGTGAATTATCTAGATTTTTTTCGAGAAAATTCTTAGAAATCGAATACGCACAATCCCGTATGTCTCACGTACGCAAGGGAAAAAATGCCGAGATAACGTAAGAACGCGCACGTGGATGACGTGAGACAGACTTTTTAATATAAAGTACCAGACGTTCTGTCTGTTTCCGAGCTTCTCTATAAAGGCACGGTCTGATCTCGCGCAAATATTTGATGCCGCTTCTCTCTCTACGTTAACCGCGCAGCGTTTTACATCGGATCGCGCGCTACGCGTGAATATTTTTGATCGTCGCGCGTAGTGTCATGCTTATTTTACGATTTTCGACGGACTTTTATATCGAAAATCACCGTTCACTGTGGGCGCGTACATGGCGTATGTGAGAGAAATATTAGATTGTGAAAAACACGAACCGGCGGGGGAACAATGCACAGAAAAACACAGAACAAGAGGAGCGATATTTGAATTATCATTGAAAAAAAAACGAAGTTTGTGTGCGCACCGTCATTAATTAGCCGAGCTAAATTTTATACCTTTTGCTTTAATGACGGATAAGTGGCACTTCGCGTCGCTGTGTGACAGCAAAAAACAATTTTGCGCACGCAGAAAAAAAGTGATATTTTATTCAGTTCAATCTAGTTAGTCGGCTGACCTATATCTAAACTTGTTTCACTGACACGTCTGACACGGGGATGACTTTTGAAGTGAGACTTCGTAGGACATTTCTGAAGATCATTTGTGCTATCTTTATTCTACCGTTACGCATCCTTCCTTTCCCAGAAACACGTTCACACCACGACCGATCTGAATTACCAATGAACATTCCGATCACGTTGCCAACAGGACGAGCTGTTCGCGCGGAATAAGAGAGCTTGGTAACGCCTAAAAAAAGAGCTAAAACGCGAGGAATGAAAAAAAATTGTGTTGATAAAAAAAGAAAAAATGAATTACGTAAAAGTACAGGCTAATTCGATTCGTGTGTCGCGCGCCATATATTTCTATCTATTAAAAAAAAAAAAAAAAAAAAAAAAAAATAGCCTTTTGTTCGGACGAGTGGCAGTCGAACGCGCATACGTGTGCGTATTTTGGTTGACCGTGTAAAATATTTCGTAAAACTGTATTGTTTGTAGCGAGGCTCGTAGCCGTAACTTCCGAGTAATGGACAATACGAATGAAAAAAAAGTGGCTGATACGTGTCTGATTCCGTTTGATCGTATGTCAGACGTTATCGGTCGCGCAATGTGTACCTATAGGAAATATATATATATATATATATATACATAAAAGGTGGTGCATGCGGATAACAATTTTGCAACGCACAATATCCACACCCGCTATCCATAATTTGTATCAGCGTTTTGCACAACGGAGTCATCGTGAAATATATTTAATATAGCAAATTATATTAAAATACTTAAAATACTTTGTATTAAAAACTTTTACTTGAAGTCAATACAGTCTCTGCTGACTCTTTCAATAAATATTACGTGAGGTACGCGACGCTTTTGCGCGTAATTTTTGCCGCTCACGACACTTGTGAATTATTCACTTTACGTCGAGGGCGGATGTATATCGGCCGCAAGGAACGAAGAAGAAACTCGGGTGTTTCTTTATTGCGTTCTTAAGTTTGGCTGGTTTCTGGCGTCCGTGTACACCTGCTTACCTATCGCGATATTCCTCCACCTCTCTCATCCAGACTTTCCGTAGCCGTTCACGAAAGCCTACTTTCCGCGGATAAAAATCAATGGCGCATTTTCGCGTATCTCCGCACACGAGGCACGTCGGCATAGAAGACACTTTTCCCACGAAACACCTCGAACTCGTAGAATCCCATAAGGCGCTTAACTTCCCTGACTTTCATCGCTATTCCATAGCGAGGCATCACTTTTCTCTCCTCATTCTCCTTTTCGTCTATCTTTCGGTCTAGAACCGCCTACCTCGTGGAACATTCACTTGAAGATTTTTCAGTTCGTCTTTCACACGTATCTAAAGCTCTTTAGTATGTCTCGGAGGAATGTGTAGACGAAACACCTCGCTACAGTATTAGCTTATTTTTTACGAACTGACTGTGTGTTTCGAGAAACTGAAAATATAAGCAACTAATAAGTTACGATAAATTTTCTGCGAGGGCTTGTAATTATTTAATTTATATTTTTTCTTATTTTTGTTTATTTTTCTTATTTGTATTTTTATACATAGACGGCAACGTAATTGCTAGATTTGATCGCAGTTGATAACAAATTTGTTTACACAAGTTGCTTTTGCTTATGGTCCTTAAGCTCTGTAAATTTGCACTATTATTATAGATATTTGTTTTTCTTTCGAAAAGGTTGCTCACAGGATGCAGAGACTTCAATTAAATTTCAGGAAGTTTTCGAGTACACCACGTGGCCACGACGGCGGTCTTCGCGCGTTCGTTGGAAAAAGCTGGCCGGCGGCAAATTTAATTAAAAAAGTGCAAGCGCGCAATTTTTTAAACTTTCCGTTGGCGAGAGGAACGCTGCACCGGAGACAGAAGAGTATATTTGTTCGCTCGTCAAATGATTCCGCGCCCGGAAGACGG